AATGGCTTTTTTTGTGGATCCCCAGGGTCTTAGAGGGGGGTTGTTATTGTTGTGGGATTCAAAGTGGACATCAGACAGATTCCTAAAAAATCTTTTTACATTACAGCTGAATTTCAGATTGGCTCTTCAGAACCTCAATGGGGGATCTTTGTATATCACAGTACCTGTAAGCAACAGAGAATGAAGCAATGTGCAGAATTGGAGTAGGATAAAATTTCTTGGGGCAAGAATTGGTTTGCTATGGGAGACTGGAACGATTTATGCTCAAACTCTAAAAAATCTAGAGTTATCATTAGGAGTGACATAAGTTTTTAAGGTTTCATTAATCATATTAATACTCTGGAAATAGAAGAGATTCAGATGCAAGGCTATCAATTCACATGTTGTAATAACCGAGCTGATGAAGGGTTGGTTGAGGAAAGACTAGATCGAGCCTTTGCATCCTTTGACTGGCTACAATCCTTTCCAAATGCTTCTGTTGTAAATGAAATCAAAAGTTCCTCTGATCACTCAATGATTCTACTAAAGAGTGGCCAACCTTCAGGAAAAAGGCAAACTTCTTTTCACTTTAATAAGAGATGGATTGGTATAGAGGGTTTTAAGAAACAGTTAAAGTTGCCTGGTCCTCTCCTTGTACAGGAACACCTTTCTTCAGACTTAAGGAGAAAATCAAGCAAACTCGAGTGGCTCTTCTCATTTGGAGCTCAAAGTTCAAAACTCATAAAAACAGAAGATATTTTCTCTCTCAAGAAGGCTAGAAATGCTCAAATCAAACAGAGCTGGTGACAATTGGGAGCAATGGGAAAGCACCAAGAAAGAACTGAACAAGGCCCACTTATTTGAGAAGATGCATTGGCAACAGAAATCCAGAATAAAATGGCTCAAAGAAGGGGATGACAATACAAAAGTTTTTTCATGCTTATACATCCCAAAGAAGAAGACATAATACCATTACAAGATTGATTACTCCTCGGGGCAGTCACCTTACCTCTCATCAGGATATTGTGTCCCACATATCTGAATTCTATTCTAAACTATTTTCCTCTGAAGGGAGTTGGGAGGAGAATCCATTTTACATCTGATTCCCAAATCAGTTAATGAAGACATGAACACAGCTCTCCCGAAACCAGTGACTGAAGTTTAAGTAAATGAAGCTCTTTTTAGCCTTCACCCAGATAAAGCTCCAGGGAAAGATGGCATGAGTGCCCTATTCTATCACCATTTCTGGTCTCTCATCAAGGAGGACTTTGTGGAAGCCATCCCCAGTTTCTTCTAGACAAGTAACCTTCTCCAGTATTTGAACACCATCCTTTCTTTAATCCCTAAAACTCAAAACCCTGAGGTTCTAGGGCAATTCAGGCCCATCACTTATGCATCATTGTTCAAACAAAACTCTTTCCAAAATCCTGGCACAGAGGCTCATGACTTGTTTAAATGACTGCATCAGTTTTTTTCAATCTGCATTTGTTAGAGATAGGCAATTGATGGATAATGTGATCATAGCCAAAGAGGCTTTCCACTTCCTTAACAGAAACACCTCATGCAGGAATTATTTTATGGCTTTAAAAATGGACCTTGTCAAAGCCTTTGACAGGTTTGAGTGGTTGTGCATTAAGAAAATTATGACTCAGATGGGATTCCACAGTGATTTTGTTAATCTGATTATGGTTTGTGTGTCCACTGCATCTATTTCTTTCAAAGTTAATGGATAGGTTTGTGGATTTGTCTCTCCATCTAGAGGTATAAGGCAAGGGGATCCTCTATCCCCTTACATGTTCATCATAGTGGCTGAATTACTTTCTACAATGATAACTGATGCTACTGCTCATGGACTTTCGAAAGGGCTTAGGATGTCTCAAAATGGCCCTACTCTCTCCCACCTTCTATTTGCAGATGATTCCTTATTTTTCTGCAAGGCTGGTAATGATCAGGCTATAATTCTTCTCAACCTGCTGGAGAAATACAGACTTTTTTACTGGCCAACAAGTGAACCTCCACAAATCTGCTATTTTCTTTAGTAGGAATACTCCTCAGCCTCTTCAATCCAGCATTTGCAGCACTCTGAATGGCATAGTCTCTCACAGATCAACCAGGTATCTTGGCTTGCCTTTGGGCATTGGCAGAGCTAAGAAATAAACCTTTGATTACATTTTATCATCTATAAAGCAGAAACTCCAAAATTGGAAGACTAAATTTCTATCTGCAGCTGGTAAGGAGACTCTCTTTAAATATGTTATCCAAGCCCTCCCTATATTTACCATGTCCTGCTTTAAACTCCCCATTACCCTATGCAATGAAATTTCTAAGCTTTGTGCTGATTTTTTGTGGCAAAATGGGGAGAACAATGGCAAAGGCATTCACTGGAGAAATTGAAATCTCATTTCCTTGGCTAAGTTGAATGGGGGCCTGGGTTTTCTGGACTTAAAGCTGTTCAATGAAGCTCTCATCTGCAAACAATTATGCAGGAATGCTACAAGGCCTGATCTGTTGGTAAGTCAAATTCTTAATGCCATGTATTATCTAGACTGTTCATTCTTAGAGGCTGGCAGATCACTAAAAAGCTCGTGGTTATGAAATTGCTAGATAGATGTGCTACCAGTGTTTGTACAGGGTTTTAAAATTGAAATTAGGAATGGAGCTCATACAAAGATATATGAGTTGAATTGGATTCCAAGGCTTCTTCAAACCAAGCCACAAATGTTGTAAATAGCAGGAGAACACCTTATCTGGGTCAAAGACCTGTTCCAAGCAGATGGCAAAACTTGGAATGAGTGGCTGATCAGGCAAATCTTTAGTGTTGATGTGAGTAAGGCTAGTTTGGAAATCAAATCCATCAACAAAGACAGAGACGACAGGAAGTACTAGAATCTGGAGAAGAAATGTTGCTTCTTTGTAGAAAGCACATACTCATATCTCTCAACTCAGAAATTGCAGAAACTTGATAGACCAGAGTGCAGCACCACCACATCAAGGAGCTTACCATCACATACAGAGGTTGGAGGCTGAAAATTCAGGCTAGGATAAAACATTTCCTATAGAAATGTCTTACTGGAACTCTGCTTGTAGCTACTCATTTTGCGAAATAAGGTCTGGATATTGACATCATCTGCTCAATTTGTGGAGAAGGCCCTGAAACAATTGAGCATGTCCTTTTCAATTGTGATAGAGCTTGCAGAATGTGGCAAAAAGCCCATGTGCAGTGGGAAGGACTCAGATGTTATACAAACTCCTTCAAAGGTTGGTTGCAAGGTTTTTTCTCTCTCAATCACTCTGACATCCCTAAAACAAGAATTCAGTTGTCCACTTACCTTTTGTGGTGGCTCTGGAAATCCAAGAATCTCTGGGTGTTTCAAAATTCTCTGCTCCCAGTGCAATGCCTCATCAATGCAGCTCAGAAGGATTGGACTGACTTTATTTCTGTGGTTTTATTTCTTATTAGTCCTTAGTTTTAGTTCCTGTGTTGTGGTTTTTCTTCGGTATGTTTGCAGTTTTTGTTGGTTTTGAAACCTTGAGTCTAGCTAGGCTTTATAGCAGTGGTTAGGCCATTGTTTCTTTGCTCTTCTATTTATGTAGTTTTTGAGGTTCTCGGCCACTTAGTGTACGCCTCTCATGTATTTTTAATTTCTCCAGTTTAGTAGGGACTCCCTATGTATTAGAACTTTGTTCTCTTTGAGTTTATATATACCCTTATCGTTTTGAAAAAGAAAATTAAAAAAGGACCGCCTAAAACAATAATATAAAGAATGGTATCAGAGCAAGACAATGATTTAAAGAAATTAAAATGAGTACAAGAAAAATATATCTTGATATAGAATGAGAAATACAAAATACAAAAATAGATATAATAAGGTATACTTATTTACATGAAATTACAAGTTCAAAATTTTATTATAAAATGATGATGAAAAGTGAAGAAAAAAAAAAGATTAATAAAAATACAAAACAAGTAACAATTGCATAAAATAGTATATAACAACAATCTCATAAAATAGCATATAGCAAAAATGCTACATCCACACCAAATGACACTATCCATGTGGGTAGCATCGACTCTACCCTAAATTAAGTTATTGTCCAGATTTATTACATCACTTTCAGCAGTCATGGCCACGGGCCAACCCCTCTCGGACCCAACCCTACCCGTAGTTTGATCGGGCCGATTTTAGGCCTCCTGTATAAATGTTTTGATCCAGCAGGCCAGGCCCTAACGGCCCTTGAGACGGGCCAAGCATTCTTTTTTTTTTTCTTTTCCTGTGAACTAGGTCAGTCCCGAATCGTCAGATCAGTGAACCGACTCAGAACTGTTGACCAATTATCGGCCCGTACATACATTCGGGCCGGTTTCGAGTATGTGTTTTAGTCGCTAGGTCTAGACTCTGCCTTTCAAATGACCACGTCTACTTTCAGGTCGTTCTAGTATAATCCAAAAACATGACAACATGAGTCACATCCCAGTTAAATCAATCTAGCTGAACTAACTCAATTATTAAAATGAATATGAATTTTATTAAGAGTACTAAATTACGATAAATATAAGGAAGTCCAAATAATCAAAGTAATTCTATAAAAAAATATGTTCAATAATTTACATATATCATTTTATTAATATTTATATAAACAAAACAATAGTTTGTTATAACATATAATAATATATGGTAAACTATGATTTATGTTATTCATTCATATATTTAATTTATAATACAACATTGATATTGTTTTTTCGTGCATTACAAGAGCCACCATGACATTTTTACAATTTAAGTATAACTGAAAATATGTATGCTTAAAGGTTAAACCTATCTAATAACAGTCCCATTATTATATTTATGTTTCCATGACATTTTTCCCAACAAATGAGGAGAATATAATCAGACAATCAAATTTGTCTCCCTTAATCTAAAAAGTGCCATACATATAAAGGTATATATCTACCCAAACCTCAAGATAGATTATGAATTATCCAAAAAAAAAAAAAACAAAGGACCAAATTTTCATTCCCATCATGACGTCAAAATTGCTTCTCTTGAAACAACCGGGTCCAAATCGACAGAAATCGAGTCGGGAGGTGTCTGGCTGCTCACGCCACCCTCCGCATGAACAACAGCAGGTAGCAGCCACTGCCTAGAATGCTCGACTGAGGCCTCAGGACTATCTACAGATTGTGCAGCCGTCTGCACATGTTTCATCTCGTCTGAGTCCTGCAGTGAAAGGCGGCAAACCGGGCATGTGGCGTGTTTCCTGAGCCACAAATCAATGCATGATATATGAAAGCTGTGGCCACATTTGGGCATGATCCGCAATACTTCTTTGTCTTGGTACTCTGACAAACATATGGTACACCTGCATTCCGAAATAACGATGTGAACTAAAAAACTCTTTGTTGGTCGATAAGTGAAATAATAGCGAAATTACCCATGAACTTCAGTCTAATTACAAGAACCGCCAATCACGTATTAGAATTATAAATGCATCCTTGAGGATTTTGTTGAACTGGGTTTTTCAAAGACATGCTCAACATCAAGTAGTTTTGTAATTAAGTAACTAACCCTTGATGGGTAAAAGTTGCCAGTATCTTTTGAGTCATCAACTGTAAGGAAACAATGATCGAAACTTTTGTTTTAATGCAAGATGACATAATTACGACAAACTTAATCCTGAGGATTAGTCTTAATATTAAAGACATACTTTTGAGGTTTACAATTACCTACAAATGTCTCCTTCTAAGGGCGCATGCACTTCAATGACAATCAAATGTCAAAAAAAATATTTCAAATTTTTCAAAAGAGAACTTCTTTGTTTCTTTTTTGTAATTAGGCTAAACCTCGCGGTAGTTCTTGTAATTATCTTTAAGGTGGCAAGACTCACTGTGGATCTTCAAACGAACTAAATGCTTCGCGATTAAACTTGAGCGTGGGGATTGCATTAACTGCTACTGGTTCAAGACCAGTAATCCTGTGCTCTGGCTGCAAACAAAAGGAATAAAGAAAAATTACAACTACGATCAAAATGTACAGGAAAAGTCACCAAGACGAGAACTTCTGGCAAAACTTTTCAACATCAAACCATAAGGTTTAGAGTTCGAAGCACGTAAGCGTTTACGAGTTATAGATCATAAATGTGCTCGATTCCTTCCCGACTTTAACTGACAACACTAGAAATTACAAGCACGCAAAGTTGGTAAAGTAAAAGGTATATGGTGCCTTGAAGTAAATGAATTACCGAAATTCGTACACACTAGTCAAGAATGCAAGTAGTGGCAGTATGGTGAACAGATAATTAAGAATTAGTCAAATTCTTAAGACACCACTGAGGTTTAGCCCTGCATCTTGAGACACAAAATATATAGAAGAAACTGGGCCATTGATGATTTACAAAGTATAGTAAGAGAATTAAACATTAGGTGAAGTAGTTTTAATTGAGTCTTACAATGAACCGAGGCAATTAACCTTACACTAAAGCGAAGCACCATGAACGATTAAAGTATACATTTTCATCTACAAACTCAACCGTGACATTAGGACATACCAGCTCAAGATCAATCCTCAAGTCATTCTCTAACATCAGTTGAGTCTCCATCCTCCGGAGCCTCCCGTAAATGAGCCGAGTGCAAACGAAAACAATGAATGTTGCACTCATTCCAAACCCGATAATGGTTGTGATCAGATTCATACCAGAGCCCAACATATCGAAAATTTCCTGCTTTCTCGATTGCCCAACTCACAGTAACAAGAAATTTTAAGGCAAAAGTTGCAACTGACACAAGCAAGCAAGCAAGCAAGAAGAAGAAAGATGGCCTAGATCAAGCACAATAGTCCAATTTCTCAAGCCATTATTCTGAAAGTCAACTGACAGGTGATTAAATCAGTATAAGGAACAAAACAAAATCTAACACTGTAATAAGATTAACTGAAGAACACATCAAGAATCTCCAATGATGAGATTATAACTTATAACTACACATCACCACAAACGACAAATGAGCCCAAATGAGTCACAAACAAAGGGAAAAGGGCAAAAACAGAAAAAAAGAAACAATTTTGCCCTAAAAATTGAATCTTTAATCCCTTTGGGTGGACTCTAAAGGGTGGCCCTGTGAATGGATGAGAATCAACTAGTAAATATAAGTAAGAACTCTTCCAATTTTGTATTTTTCTTGAGGGCCCTCTTTGTTACTATTTTACATCAGAAGGCTGAAGGTGGGATCTTTGGAAATGGCGGCTAATGGGTAAAAGCGAAAAATAAATAAACCGCAATTGACTGCATATAAACCGGTTCAAGATCCAGTGGGATTCACCATCATCAAGTCATCGAGTGGAAGTGACAGACTGAGATTTTTTGTTCGAGTTTCTTGCATTGTTCTTTACTAGTTTTACAACAGAGTAACCTGTAAGATCGTGTCTGTTTATTTTGGTAATTCTGGATTTTTGTTTAACAAATGAAAGATACTTTTGAATACCACTCGTCACTCACATGGGTAAATCAACGGCCCAATGTTTTTGCCAAATCAGTCAGCCTCATAGACTGCAAAACTTCCTATCCCCGTCGGTGCAAACGGTCACATGTGCATAGATATGCCCATGGGCCGGCCCGGCCCGAACCGATCCTGAACCGGCCTCCTAAGGACCGGTTCGTTGAACCGGACCCTTAGTGCCGCAGTTCGGTCCCGGTCCCTTTTTTTTGACCCGTCGGGCCGGGACGGGTCGCGGGTCAGACAACAAACTATGGTATTACTTTTTTTTCCTTTTTAAGGGTTTGTACCGGCCCTTGACCCACCGGGTCAGTGAACCGGCTGTTCGGGCCGGTACTATGAACTTGCCCATAGTTTATTTCGGGCCGGTCACGGTCCATGATATTGAGGCCCACGGCCCGACAATTGGCCACCTCTACTTGCTGCACTCATGAAAGTAGGGAAAATTAGACAAATGGTCCTGTATGTTTATACCTTTTTCATTTTGGTCCGCTTCAATTTGACTTTTTAAGTTTAGTCCGACAACTTAAAAAAATTAAGTTCTTTCGTCCTTTTTGGCCCAGCGGGCCAATTTAAAACCCTCAATCGCACGTGGCTGCCTGCGTGGACCCGAAGCCAATTAAAGCAGGTGAGACGTGGAGCTGAGGGACAAACATAAAGAACAAAATGCTCTAACCTCATCATTTTGCCCTAATTACTTGAATTTGGAGGGAAAATTGCTTCATTTTCCCTCCTTTATGAAAAGCCCTAATATCATCTTCAAGATCTTAGCTCTTACCAGTACCAGTTACCATTTTCCCACAAATCCGAAAAAATTAAGACAAAAATGCCATCCTCGTCGTCTTCAGCTAGTCAAGGATCGTATTCCGATCTTGAGGATGATGATTATGAGTTAGAAGAAGAGGTTGGTGATGATGATGGATTGTTCAATGGTTTCTAGGAAATAAACAAATCGTTGTTGAAGAGACTAACCAATCTGAGGAGGAGAATCTAATGCGAAGCGATGATGATCTTATTAGTCTCAAAAGTTTAGACAGTGAAGCTGAAAGAAATAGGCTCAGTAGTTTTAATCCTATTCATATTTCCAATCCAAATTTCAGCATTGGGATGATTTTCTCTACCAAGTCAGAGCTCAGAAAGGCCATTCACTCTCATGCCATCAACACAAAGAGAAACATCAAGATAACAAAGAATGATAAGATAAGAATGCATGCAAAGTGTGAAGGTGAAGGATGCAAGTGGAAATTGCATGCTCTGAAGTTGAATGGTGAAGAAACCTTTCAGATTAGGGCATATTTCACTGAACATACATGTGTTCCCTCTTACAAGGTGAAAAACCTAACTTCAAGTTGGTTGTATGCTAAGTATGCTCAGAAGTTCAACTCAGATCCTACTAGAAACGTTAAAGGTTTTAGGGCAGATGCAATGGATGAGATCAGAGTTCAAGTCAGTAACTTTCAAGCATATAGGGCCAAAAAGCTAGCAGTTGAAGCCCTTCAAGGGAGTGCAGATGAGCAATTCAACCTTCTATGGAACTTTGATGAAGAGATTAAAAGGAGCAATCCAGGGAGTACTATTATCATAGGTCTGAGGTTGAATATGGAAAGAAGAGATTTGACAGGGCCTACTTGTGTCTTAAGGCATTGAATGATGGTTTCATGGCAGGTTGCAGGTCTTTTATTGGTGTGGATGGATGTCATTTGAAAGGTCCCCATGGAGGCATGCTGTTAACAGCTGTTGGTGTCGATCCGAACAACAATATATTCCCAATAGCAGTGGCAGTAGTTTCCAAAGAGAATAAGGACACATGGGAGTGGTTCTTGCTTTTTCTGAAGAGTGATTTGAAGCTTCAAACAGACTATGAGTACACCTTCATGTCTGATAAGCAAAAAGGCTTAATCCAAGCATTTGATGAAGTATTTCCAAATGCCGAACACAGATTTTGTGTTAGGCACTTGCACTCAAATTTCAGTAGGGCTGGTTGGAGAGGACAAGCATACCTTGTGGAATTCTGCACAAGCAACTACTGTGCCTGAGTTTACAAGAAAAATGGAAGCTTTTCAGAAAATGAGTGGTGAAGCATTTTCATGGTTCAATGACAAGCCACCACATCAATGGAGCAGGTCACATTTTTCAGATTTCAGTAAGTGTGACATGCTTTTAAATAAT